CGGCTACGAACGAAGACCATAAGTGTTGGTGCACAGTTCATACACCAATAAGGGTTCCGCTGGCGAGGAGCGCCAGAAAATTAATTGGTACCGACGATCATCAGGGTGTATCCAAGTTTGTCGAAACATCATTTTAATATCACTAGTAAATACTATCCGAGGCCACCGAAAGTTCAAAATTATATCCGTAATATCATTCGTTAAACGTTCTCCGCAATAAAGATTATCATTCAGGGATGACCCATAAGTAGTAGGATAACTACCATTAAACACTACTCGAATTTTAAAGACATCTCCTGATTTCTTAAATACCCCGTGGTGTAGTATAAAATAGTGTTCGCGTCCTGTATCAAATTCAAAATTTGAAACCTTCATGTGCCTGAGTTCCAAATATTCCGTCATAAATTGAATATATTTTTCACGAAATACCGGGTTCCGTTCCATCCTACGCTTCAAAGAATAAAATTGTCTTAAGGCCGACAGTCGTGAATCACCTAACAACTTCTTCTCACATTCCGGAAGAAGAGGTATGCGTACTGTATATTTCCCATCTATACCCCGTGTCCTAGTGGACTTAAATAATTCTTCCCATTCACAGTCCCTTATTTTAGTACGAGGAGGTTCCTCGGTGTGCCAAAACCGTTCAACCGCTTCAATTAACCCCGTCCCCACGAAATAATCTTCGTTTGTTGTGGACGGTACAGGCCCGAAAATCGCAAAGTCGAAAATAGTGCTCAAGGCATAAGGCCCGTTTATGCCCAAATCAATTTTATCCCTGGTTAAAATCTTACCCAATATGTCGCAACCGAAAATAATATCTATTTCTCGTTTATGAGAAAATCCCGAGTCCGAGCTATTAAAATTATTATTAATATTTAATTTATGTGCTAAATAACTCGTGGGTTTCTTCAAAATGACTCCCGTAGTACTTAAACAAATATCCGAATTTAAAGGTTTGAAATGAATTAATGAGACTCCGCATGTCTCATTCAATTCCTTATCCCCCACGCCCAGTATGGGAATGTATTTATAATACCGCCGTAATTTCAATCTATTAACAAAATCACTCCGTATTATAGTTAATTGCGATCCTAAATCTAGTAAGCAGTGAGCCTTAATAAAATTATTATCCGTACTCTTTACCTGAACCGTAACCGTAGGTAAAATAACATTATCTATAAGTTTAGGTATTGATATATCTGAGGCGCCCGGCGAAACAATATTTACTAAACTATCCGAGACGCCAAGTAGTTGCTATTGGTTACATGACCCACCCGGCGCCGATCCGCCGGCGTTATATAAACATTCTTTACCATTTCTGCGCTGCACACAGCTATTATCAGATAAGTGGGGGGGACTACATGAGCGGTCGCCACTGCACGACGCACAGGTAACGAGAGACCTCGGCTTATGCCCGCGCGCAATGTTGCCGTTGTGTATTGTAGTCATTGCGCGTCTAATAGGCGACGGTTGCCGCCCCCTCAAACAAATCAAGCGATGGTGTCCGTCGTGTCCGCATATATCGCATGGTATTTGTTTACCGCACGATGTCGCTGTATGGGGCTCAAGGCACTTATAACATAATGCATTGGTTCTTATAAATTTTCTACGACTATTTTTATTTAAATTAGCAAACTTGTAACATTTAGAAATAGTGTGATTTGACCGATCACAGTACGTACATGTATTCCGAAGGCCTGGGCCGTTATTGCCTTGATTTACATTAGTAACATGAATGTTTCGAGAATAACCATTACACTTATACGAGTCATTGTGCATTTTATACGTGCGTGTATTATTCTTCGCGGGAACCGATTGCGCAGACCGAACCGATATATCTGTTGAGGTTTCTATGAATCTGCATTCATTTTGTAAAAATTCTAATAGCTCACCGAACGTAGGTAGAACTAAATTATTACCGCTAAACCTATGTTCAAACCGATTTTTTAATTCCGCCGGAAGTTTATTTAAACTAATGTGAAGTAATAAATAACTCCACTCCTTAACCGGAAGGCCTAAGTTTTCTAAAGCCCTATAAGATTCCAATAAGGGATTCAAAATTTGACTACGAAGTCCCGCCACTTCGCTCATGGTGGGTAAATTCAAAAGTTTTGAAATATAACTATCCGCCAATAATCGTTTATTTTCGTACCTTCCGTGTAATATTTCTAACGCCGAGTCTATGGACGAATCTATCATTGGTAAATGTTTTATCAATGCCTTAGGCTCATTAGTGACGTGCGAAATAAGGTAATGAAACTTTTCCGTTTTCGAAATATCATTCCTAGCTAACACTAAGGATGAAAACAATGAAATTAAACTAGTCCAAGAGTATATATCTCCATCAAAAACCGGTAAGTTGATGGTAGGAAGACGTGCGGTAGGGGCACTCTCCGTTGGTTTATGGGTCCCGTCCAACCCAGGGTAAGCCGCTGAAACCGCTTCCAGCTGGTTATAAATTTCCTCAGCTTCCTTATACCTTGCGTCATACTGACGCACTAGCTCCTGGTCTTTCTCGTCAACCACATTCAAAAGGGCCTCATAAGCATAATATAAATCAGCATACTTCTGATCCAATTTACGCAACCGTGCCGAAATTACACCCGACGTGTATTTTTTACTGTTAGCCATATCTAACGTATTAATAAACCAATCGCAATGGGTTTTAAATTTAATAGTCTGTGATTTAGACATTGTTACGCAATAAACGTTAAATTAAACCGAATAAGCCAATATAAATGGACTTGTACTGAACCGTTAACAGTTACAATATTCACCTACCCACAACAAAAAAATGTAAAAATTAATAAAAACGAACCGAATGCTTAAAATATACCGATTTTATAGCAAATTAACCAATAATAATACCGTAAAGAATGATCTAGGATGTTATCTAGCTAGCAAAGTCCTATCCGTCTCGAAGGACCAAAATTATGTTGTGGCCGTTACCTTCGATAGTTCAGTGGTGAGTAATGGATCCTCGGCACGGGTTAGGGCCTTCCCGGAATCCTTGACCTATTCTAACTGGGATGCTAAAAACAACTGCGAAAGCCGTATCCAAAACAAATCACAGTCTTACTTTGTTTGCCGTCGTGGGTGATAGTTGTGTGTGTGGGTAGTTCAACCGCCGCCGAAGTAATATCGACCGCGCCTTGTGGTCAAGCGCGCACGTCCGCTCACTAGAAGAGGTCGTGAAGAACAGGGGCCGACCAAAGGCGTTCACCAGTGAGGCGTTCACTAGTGCGCCAACTAGTGAGGCGAAACGATTAATCGCCAAAAATCAGCAACCTGGCTCGACTGCGAATTATCCGAACACAGCCCAAGCAAATTGCCTTAACATACTTAATGATCTCACATCGCGGTGTGATAGAAAAATAATAGTTATAATAATGTAAAGGTGAACTAAACCTACTCTGTGCGACTTTAAGAGAGAGAATGTCTGTCTCATAATCTATGACGGCATAATATCGCTTCACAAAATCTTGTCCTAAGATACCTATCGCCTTACACGGTAAATTCCTAAATACGTAAAACTTATGCTTAAAAAATATATCGTTATGTCCTAATGTCAAGTAAAGAAAACCTACTGACGTTAAGGTACCACCTATATCATTAATGTTTAACTCACATTTATGTAATTCTAATTTAGTTAAATCTAAAAGTTCATATTTAATAGCTGATAAAGATGCCCCTGTATCTACTAAAAAGTCTAATTGTAACTTATCTACACTAAAATTTACCCAATTAATACTATCGCAGGCTAAGACCTGATTAGGAACGAAAAAACTGGTCTAAATTATGATCATCTTCTTTATTATTCAACGAAGCAGAAGAATCATTTTGATTAGTTGCAGTAAAATGATTTAGATTTCTATTACAAGAACGCTTTGCGCTGTTAACGCGATTTCCGCGAACGTACCTGAAACCTGAAGCGCGCCGAGTGCGGTTACCGTGGGAGTCTCGCCACGCGTTCTCTGATGATGCCGACATTCTATTATTACTTGGAAAATAATTATTATACGAATTACGACCACGAAATCCACGTGAAATATTATTGGTACGCCAAGGCGCTTGCCGATTGTACGACATGAAAGGAGGGCCCGAAGCTGTATTAGATTCATCTTTGGCTACTCTGATGGCATCTTTCAAAGATGTCAAATTACGTGCTAAAATGATAGTCCCTAACTTTTGGCTTCTCAAACCTTCCGAAAAACATTTAATTGCATTCTTTTCATTTAAAGGGCGCAGTACTTTGTATGCATTGTCGTCACCATCCGCCTGTGAAATAGTTAAATCCACAAATAATTTCTGTATCTCATTGCCAAACTGTTGTACAGATTTTTCACCTTGCTTACATCTCTGTAAACTAGCCTGTAAAGCAGTGTCAGATTTGCCAGTTAGTAAATGTATCCGCATATCCTCTAATAGTGAATTCACAGAACTATAAGAAGTAGCTAAACGCATTTTAGCTCCACTTGTTAATCGACTTTTTAAAACTTTGATTAGCATCTGCTTATCACCACCATTAAGCATCGACTCGTATAATTCAATCGCATCAATTAAATCCCGACTCATCTGTTCATTTCGGTAAAAGTCTTACGGCCATTTTTAAATTGAATTATTCACCCGACATTGTTTCCGATTTACTACTATTATAATTATATAAAATAGATTCTTTCTGTTCATAAATTTGGGTTATATCTATTTCTAAACTTATAATATATTTATAATATAATGTAAACAAATTGCATTCATATCATAAAATTAATTAGGTAAGGAGAAAACAAACAAAATACACGAAAAATACCACATTTAAATGATTGTTTGAGCCAATAAAGGATAATTTATCCAGTTCTCTCGGCAGTGGCAGCGGCAGCATGACCCCGTATGGATGCCCGAATTCTCTCAATCGCTCGAAGGCCAATCTCCTCTTGTATCCAACCACGATGACATTTTCTATAGAGCCTCACTCCAACGTATAATAATAGCAAAAATATTACCGCAAGGATGATCCACGTGACAGTGTTCAGTCGCTCCAGATGACCTCCAATTCCCTTTAGAGTTGCGTCATTGTTTCCACCAGTAGCGTTTTGGCTAAGGAAGATCTCTTCTTTTTCAACAGTGGACCGGCACATGTTCAAATGGCAAAACTACTTTACTAGAGCTTAAAAGACTGTGGACCCCTTGGCAGAGCCCTTAGGCAGAGCCCTTAGGCAGGGGCAAAGCCCTTAGGCAGGTCGCCATGTAATGTTGGGGTTTGGATAAATTAGACAACCATTTCGGTTTACCTACGTTTATTGAATGCCACAAAAGTATGTTATAATTATTACACTAGTAAGGAATCGCTGATGCAGATATTATAAAGGTACTTACACACTACACTCGCACTAAGTCGACTTTGGCTAAGAGACACTTTAATAACTTGGCTCCTCATGTGTATAATAAATAAAACAAAATTAGTAAAGTACGTAAAGAACAATGGCAGAAACATATTTACCTAAAACTCAAGCGTTTAAAAAAAATTCTCACAGTAAACTTAATAAATATTTTTTCTATGATTTATCATTACACCACCATGTGTTGTGTAAGTCTTATAAGAGATCGGATATTTTCGAAGATTTTATTTGACTAAGTACGTAATGTCAAATTCGCCATCACGTATTACTGAATAGGGATGCATGATGGCATTATTATGTTATCAAACATTTTATCGATAATCGATTTTTATAGCTTTGGCTGAAATATCTACCGAAGGTCACCTTTTATGATTATGAATTCTTCTGCCCATGAGTTCACTCGCACGGTAGAGTGACTAAATCAACATAATTAGAAATAATTTAGAATTTCTTGACATTTTTAAACGATTTTTGCTACACTAAATTAATAGAATATAGTTACGTTATTTTAACAATGTTTGCAGTATAACAATATACTGCACAGTGTGATGAGAAAAATACAGTTGAAAACGGCTTATAAATAGAATACATCGATATTTTCAAAATGGCGATACGTCGCTATTTGGATCATGTCGAGTGCCGCACCACTCTTGTCGTTTGACACTAACACGCATGATTTCAGGACCATTGCTTACACGGCAATTCCCTCTTGTTTAATTTAGTGTTAAACTATGCGAGTTTAACACTAAATTATACTAAAATAAAACACTAAATTATAAAAAAATATGTTATGTTTTTCTATTTTTAATTTCGTATGCATGATGTAACGCCTTAAAATGTTGTGCATTAATCTCAATATAACGGATGAATGCTTTAGATTTTAGTAAATATTGTAACAACTACTAGCTGTCTAATTACTAAATAAATTGCTTCTGCCTTATGTCAAAGTATTTTGAAGTACAATTATTCAAATTATTATTTTTAATTTATTTATTTTTAGAGAGTCGGTTAACACTTTCAACTGCAAAATACGGTTGTTTATAAGTAATAATAATAACCATAATGTTTTCTGTTATATAAGACACAACGCCATCTAGTTTCAAACAAAACATTGGCGACCGAATGGCGTAGTGGTTTGTGTAACGGACTGCTATTCGAAAGGTCGCGGGTTCGATTCCCGCTCAAGTCAAACATTTGTGTGCGTGAACATTTAATGTTTGATTTGGTCTGGGTGTTTCTATGTATAATAAGTATGTATTTACAAAAAAAAAAGTATATATGTATTTATATCAGTTGTCTAGTACCCATAGTACAAGCTCTGCTTAGTTTGGGACTAGATGGCGATGTGTGAATGTGGTAGAATATTATATTATTATATTATTGACAATATGTTAGTACTTAACCTCGAAACATTCAAAATACAATATATTTTTTCCTAGACTTCTTTCGCTGGTAATTTTGTTATGAAAATGGTCAAGAATAAATTCTCAAGTGTTTTAGGTATTTTTGATATTTAAACGCTACCATTTTGTAACGCCCTTGTCCTTTAATAATATCTACTAAATTCAAAATAGCTTTATCTGCGTGGTTAAAATCCATTACGATTATGTTGAAAACTTATTAAGGAATCAATGATTATGGTTTAAGACATTTATTTCCTCAAAAGAATATTTACATTCGTTTGTCAGAGAAAATACAAGATAAAAATAGTAAGTAACAAGTGCCGGAGCGGTGCTTAAATTACATATTATTGTTTTTACATCTAAGTAAACAAATATGTAGTACAAAACTATTAATAAATAAATAAAGAGGGTAGCTATCACAAAACAAAACCAGCCGGACCCACGCCTGCCGAGATTACCAAGTTTGCAATATTGCAAGTTGTAAACAAGTATGTTATGGCCGTATTACGTATTGTATGGCGATTGCTATCGTAATTCTATCGAGTGACTGTTATCATGTTTTTTTTTTCGTTTTTAAATTAGCTTTATACCATTAATATGTAGCCTACTGTTTGTTAAATATAAAAAGTATTTTTCAATTTTTTTTTATTTTTTTTTTATAGTGGTTTATTTATTAGTTCTTTTTTTTTTTAATTTTTAATTAGTGAATTCATCTAAATTCCTATTTTTTTTTTTTTTTTTTTTAAGACGTCTTAATATTTTGTTTTTACTAAGTATTTATTCTATTAAATATTTACTTTATTTTAAAATATTAAACGTTTATATTTTATATTTTTGAATTGAGTATTCATAGAAATACAAGGCACCTTTTTTTTTTTTTTTTTATTACTTTTTTATCATTAATTTTTTGTCTCTTCTACTATGTGTGCTCGTTTACTTACGTGTTACTTTGCAGGACATAATATTCGAGCTTCTTTTTGAATAAAGCCATTGATTGGATTTCTTTTAAGTCGTTCGGTAGTTTATTGTAAAGTTGGGCACCTTCGTATTTAATATTTCTTAAGCCGTAGTTGGTTCGCGGTATAGGGAGACATATATTATTAGCGTTTCGCAACATACGGTGCTGTACTTGTGACTTTTTGGTAAATGTTATTTGTGTATGAATAGTTTTCCTAATTATTTTTCTTATAAGAATGCATGTATTATATTTGTATAGTTGATTGATTGACATTATTTTGGTATTACTGTAAACATCTCTTGTTTTAGTTAAATAATTCATATGAAATAGTAGTTTTACGACTTTATTTTGAGTGATTTGTAAATCTCTTAGATTAGTCTTAGCAGCTGATCCCCAGAGTTCGATTAAATAGGATAGGTGAGATTTTATTAATGAATTATATATTATGTAACTCACGGATTTAGGAAAACATCGCGCTGTGCCCCTGAGTATGCCTATTAAACTGGACAGCTTAGATTGTATTACATTTGTATGTGATTTCCAAGTGAGGTGACTGTCAAGTACGAGGCCCAGATATTTTTCAGACTTTACTTTGGTAGGGCTTCACCATTTATGTTTAGTGGTTGGAATTGTAGTATGATTTTGTTTTTTGAAGTAAAGATAATGTATTTTGTTTTAATTACATTAATAGTTAGTCGGTTATAGTGAAACCATGTATTTAATATGTTTAAATCCTCTTGTGCTCGTTTTGCAATTAGTTGGATGTCATTACCAAAGTAGAAGATACTAGTATCATCAGCATACAATGTCACATCTCCTGATAGATTCAGGTCGTTAATGTTATTAATGTAGACGAGGAAAAGGAGAGGTCCAAGAATCGAACCCTGCGGTACCCCGTACGTAATAGGTTCGGGTCTACTTGAGGTATTGCCAATTCTAACAACCTGACTTCGGTTTGAGAGATATGACCTTATCATATTTAATGCTGTTCCTCTTATTCCGGCACTGGACAATTTTTTTATTAGCAACTCGTGACAGATTGTGTCGAATGCCTTCTTCAAATCTACAAAGACACCCAACCCTATTTGTTTTTTGTCTATATTATCTTTTATGTTTGTTGCCAGGTCAACACAAGCCGACAAAGTATTTGATGTAGATCGAAATCCATATTGATTTTTATTGATAAAATTAACGGTAGACAGATATTGATCTAACCGTCTATGTATGACTTTTTCATAAACTTTGGAGATAACCGGAAGTACAGAAATCGGGCGATAGTTACTGGGGTCTTTTTTGTTGCCGGATTTGTAAATAGGGGTAACTTTTGCCTTTTTTAATGTGTCCGGGAAATAACCATTGTCTAGGCACATGTTAACAGCTAAAGTTAGTTTATCTAGTATTAGATCCTTAACACATTTTAATGCTTTACATGATATGCCGTCTACTCCAGTACTAGTATTAGAGTTAAGGTTGTTAATTATTTTGTTTATTTCCTCTTTAGTAGCTGGTTGAAACACAGTTAGCTCGTTACCGCTTAAGTCTTTTTTGTCATATAGCCTACATATGTCTTTTAGTTCGGTAATAGTGCCTGACTGTGTCTCTAGTTGCGTTGGGGGATTGCTGGTTTTTGTTTTGTTAGCACACAATGAATGGATAAGGTTCCACATTTTGATAGGCTTTTGTATACAACCTTTGAAAGCTTTATGGTAATATGCACTTTTAGCTTTCTGAATTTTGTCTCGAACTTCTTTTCGTACTACCATCAGGTCCTCACAGATATTTTCTTTGGATGATTCACGTAAGTATGCGGACCATAGCTGGTTTCTTTTGTCAATGCAATCAATTATTTCCTTAGTTATCCATTCGGACTTAGGTGGATTCTGTACTTTGGTTTTAGTTACTTTGGAATACTTGATACTATCAGCCAGTTTCATCTCTAGTTCATCGTAACTCATTTGATTACTGTCGGCGGCCAATTGTTTCACCAACATAAATAGTTTATCATAGTCAACGCTTAGGTATGTAATCTTGTTCCTCTTTTCTGGGCAGTATTTGTCAATTTCCAGATATAGGTGCTTATGATCTGACATCGCTGATTCAACCACAGCTAGGTGAAAGTAGTTGTTTTTTAAATTGGTGCCGACGTGGTCAAGTATAGTTTTGGTGTTAGGAGTTTCACGAGTACAATGTTCTGCATCTACTTTATTTAGCAATAAAAAACCGGTTTCGTGTAGCATTTGTTTATATTTTATAGTTGGTTGAGCGTGATTTAATAAATTATAATTAAAATCTCCAAATACTATGGCTCTACGATGATTTAGCAGCTGTTCGGAAAAGGTATCCAGAAATTCAGTGTTGTTTGTTCTTTCAGGTTTGTA